TCCCAAAATAAGTTGTCCGTTAGTTGTTTTTGTAAACTTTTAAAAATAAAGTATCTAAACTACCCCTAAAATAAGTCACTCTTCTTCACCTTATCTTCTCATTCATCATCACATCACCTAAAAAGTAATGACAATTTCATAAAATTAACTCTATTTTTTATTTTCCTTAAATATGCCCAAAAGTCAAAACAGGCGATTTAAATTGGGACGTAGGGAGTACGTTCTTTTAAGTGACAATTTCATTCGAGATAGTTGAAAAACTATATGTGATATGGTATTACACACTATATATATATAGTACTTTATCTATATTTTACTCTCAGTTTAGTTTTTTTTCTCTCTAGCTAACTAGCAGCCTAGAGTAACGATGTAAAAATTAGTAATTTGTGGAAGTCGTAGCGTCAATTGCGGAATTTCAAAGTATTAAAACAAAATCATAAATTTTTTGGAATATTTATGTAATTTTTTTCTTAAAAAATTACTAGTTATTTTTAAACAAAAATAATTTTTTAAGTGACAATTTGATTCAAGACAGTTGACAAACTATACCGGATATGGTCATGTTAGACACCATATGTAAGTTCCACAAATATAATACTTTTGATTGAGCTAGAAAATATCAAAAATGATTACATAATTAGTAGCTTAGCGAGTAAAAATCTTTTGTTTATTGAGTTTCGGAGAGGCATTGAACGGCACCCACAAGGGAGCTGTCCCCTTGAAGAATAATGAGAACTGGTGATTTCCCTATGCAACGAGCCTTGGCCAATATTATTTCCTCCATCAAATCTCGAAATTCTTGGCGATCAATTGTCCCACTTTTATCAACATCAAATTTCTCAAAAACATGATTGTACAAAATCTTGATCTCGTCCCGGGATTGCAACTCGAATTCCCTCGATCCGAATTTCCCGGGCCTATTTTCAAACGCTTCTCGTGACAACTCTCCCTTGCTTTCCACATCGAGCGAGTTGAAACTTTCGTCGACCCAATGGTGAAATGATTTTTTATCGTTCACAAACGCTTCTATTGTGGGGCCATCGATAAAAACAATGCTCATTTTTTAGATTGTTGTGTGTATAAAAACGAAAGTGAATTTGTGTTGATGTCAATTTATACACACCCAAAGTGAAAAATGAAGTAGCTTGACTTTTTCAATTCGAGTTTATGGTAGAACATTGTCATTAATATTGCACACATTTTATTTGTTTGCAATGAAATAGCTTGTTTTAAGCCACACAAAAGGGAGAGGGAGATGACTAAAGGAAGAGAAACAATCGTGAGATCAATGCAAAGGAGAGAAGATAGAATTTGGACGTGGAGAAAAAAAAGTAGGGAGTCACAACAATTTTACACCTTCATCTCTTTCAAACATAGATTGTGCAATTTTCCAAAGAGTAACATGAATGTTGAAACCCTTTAAATAAAGATTATTCGTCTAGTTCGTCTAGTTTGATTTTTCAAATTAAGCTCGATAAATTTTGATTAATAATTAAATAAAAATTAAATAGATATTTGTAAAAAAATGATTTCATTAGATTTATGTTGCAAGAAATTAGTAAAAAAATATTTCATTGTTGTCAATTGACGCTTTGGGTATGGGGCAAGGGGCTGGTTCGGTGTAGAGAGTGTTAGGGGATAGTAACCTTCAACTTTTCACATGTAACACCATTGGTTTTGTTATCAAGTTATGACATTAATAGTTATTATCAAAAGAATTGAGGGGATGTAAGACGTAATACTTAAAATGTACAAAATGAGTAATAATGGATTGGAATACTATTTAGAAAAAAGGATTATTGTTAATGTTTATAGTTTATATGGAATTGATCGTATTTTCCTTATGGAAATAGTTTATTGGATAGTATTAAAAATTTCAGAATTTCATATGAATGAAATGACTAGATTTGTATTGATGAGACTAGTGACAAAGGACATCAAGATAATCTTTTCCCAACCAAGATAGCTACACTACGTTTTTCAAAAAGAAATACTCCCTCCGTCCAAAATGAAACTTCTCGTTTTGACTTGGCACGAGTTTTAATGTAAAGTAAAAAAATGTAAAAAGTTTTCTCTTGTGCCCTTCTTGTGCCACTTTTTAAAAAACAAAGTGAACTTGGTACAAGTTAGAGTGCATCCCACATCGGAAGTTCAAGAATAAAATAATCGGTATATAAACTCTTAAGTTGAACTAACTAATCGATTGGATTCAATGTTTTATTGTGATTCACCCCAAGTGTCTTATTACCCAATCTAATAATCTCTACCTAATCTTAAATTCTATCATGGTATCAGAGAAGGTTTTGGTCCACCTCGTTTGTTAAGGTGTCTGTCTAGACGTTCATTCCTAGCGGCATGTTTGTCTTTAGCCCAGTTGTCCGTATGGAGTATGTACCCAACGACATGTGGCCCGTTAACACGATTGCTCGTCTGCAAGTCCATACCCAGCAGCTCGTGGTCCTTTAGGTGTTGATGCTAAAAAAAGTCAAGGGAATGGGAGTTCATTTGCAAGTGGTCAACCGGTTAGATTCAAAATGACCCGGTTGTCCACTTGAGAGGGAGGGTTAGAGTGCATCCCACATCGAAAGTCCAAGAATAAAATAATCGGTTTATAACCTCTTGAGTTGAACTAACTAATCGATTGGATTCAATCTTTTAATGTGGTTCACCCCAAGTGTCTTATTGCCCAGTGTAATGATCTCTACCCAATCTTAAATTCTACCAGTACATTAAAAGTGTTCCACAGCGGTTTAGTACAAAAGTAGAAGATATTTTCCAATTCAATCATTTCAAGTACTGTACAATGTAAATATCCATATCCATATTTCCCATACGTGCAAAGAAGAACTTTTTCCCTCCAAAATAAACATACACACAGTAAAAAACAAAAAAGGAGAGAGAAAAAGTCTCAAACAATTTGCTACCCCGAGTATATATTATGAGTCCAAAAATAGCAATAGAGTAGAAGTCTTCTTCATATTCTTCCTTCTTCTTCTTCTTCTTCTTCCTTTTCTTTCCAAAAATCTGCAACCTTTTTTCTTCTGATTCACATGTCCCTGCAAGCAAAAAATGACAGTGAAGAAACCCAACCAAAATAAAAAAGAAAGCACAGACTAAGCAATAATGAAAGGCAAAATATCATTGATGCAATCTTGTTGGTAGCAAAGCCTAATGCACTAGGTCAGATTACTGCTCAGAGGGGTGTTATACGTTAAATTGCAGTTGATTTCAACATTACAAGGAGGACAGTAAGCTCTTTGTGGAGGCAAGCAAGAAATCAATTAAAAGAAAGGTGTCGTATTGATGTGCAAAGCAAGATGGCAGGTAATCCTGGTAGGAAAAGAATTGATGTAGATCTAAATGCAATATGAGACATTCCATTAAGGAAAAGGACAATAATTAGATCTCTTGCCATAGCATTAGGTGTACTTAAGTCAAGAGTACACCATTGCAGCAGTTACCTCGAATGGGTTCAACATTAGTCTAACAAACCAACCCCCCAATTCTTCTGACTTGAACATCCTAGATTTGGGGTTTTTAGGGCAATTCAATCTTTAAAAGAACAATCAGCTTCTACTAATGTGGTAGGACTTATTAATGCAGTTGAAGATGCTTATACAGATTTATCATCACACACTCTTAATAAAGTGTGGCTAAGCTACCAACATTCCATGCATGAGATTTTAAAGATGAGTGGAGGCAACAATTACAAAGTCCTTCATATGGAAAAAGATAGACTTATAAGAGAGGGAACTCTTCCTTGTGTTCTACCTCTAGAGGAGGGTGTACTCGAAAAGACACTTGAACTACTAGGTCAGCAAAGCACCCAAGTTACACAGGTTGTGGAAATGGAGGAAGACACTATGGCTGAGTTCATTCTTGAAGATGAAGATGACTTCAATCTTCAAGAGTGAACTTAAACAATGTATTTTTGTCTTTGAATCCAATGGTGTACTGTTGACTTAGGTACACCTAATGCTATGGCAAGAGATCTAATGGTTGTCCTTTTCCTTAATGGAATGTCACATATTACATTTAGATCTACATCAATTTGTTTCCTACCAAGATTACCTGCCACCTTGCTTTGCACATCAATACGACACCCTTCCTTCAATTGATTTCTTGCTTGCCTCCACAAAGAGCTTACTCTCCTCCTTGTAATGTTGAAATCAACTGTAATTTGACTTATAACACCCCTCCGAGCAGTAATCTGACATAGTGCATTAGGCTTTGCTACCAACAGGATTGCATCAATGATGTTTTGCCTTTCATTATTGCTTAGTTTGTGCTTTCTTTTTTCTTTTGGTTGGGTTTTTTCACCATCATTTTCTGTTTGCAGGGACATGTGAATCAGAAGAAAAAAGGTTGCAGATTTTTGGAAAGAAAAGGAAGAAGAAGAAGAAGAAGAAAGAGGAAGAATATGAAGAAGACTTCTACTCTATTGTTATTTTTGGATTCATTATTTATACTCGGGGTAGCAAATTGTTTGAGACTTTTTTCCCTCTCCTTTTTTATTTTTTTTACTGTGTGTATGTTTATTTTGGAGGGAAAAGTTCTTCTTTGCACGTATGGGAAATATGGATATGGATATGTACATTGTACAACACTTGAAATTATTGAATTGGAAAATATCTTCTACTTTTGTACTAAACCACTGTGGAACAGTGTTTAATGTACCAATTTCACTTTGTTTTTTAAAAAGTGGCACAAGAATGGCCAGTTTGGGAATAACGTTTTTGATTAGAGTTAGCGTTTTAGATAAAATTTTAACGGTGCAGATTAACTTTGAAAACGCTAACGCTAAAAGCTACTCGTAGATTGTCTTTTCGAAACACTAACGCTAATCTCTTACGCTTTTCCCAAACAGGCCCGAGGGTAAAAGAAGAAACTTTTTACATTTTTTACTTTATTTTAGTGACTTTTTAAGAATAAAATCAAAAGAAGAATAAAATGGGAAAAGTAGAGTATATATGATTAAAGTTGACTCCTATCATTATTCTTACCATATTCGTTAGCTAAAGTTGACGCCGACACATGACGAGTTCCAGAACAGAGGCCCCTCACCATCCACCATGTTCAGCTCAAATCTGAGAACCCCCCTCTCAAACCCACGCTTTTCAATCTTTGAAGAAGGTTTCTTAGCTCATTCATGGCGGATTTCTGGTCTCTGGGGTCTCCTTCTCTCCCGGCTTTCGCTTAATCTTCATGCCCGTGGCTTTCTCAAGCTCTGTTTCGAGTGGTTTCACTGTCTGACTTTTGTTCCCAGGTAACAATTTGTGCCTTAGATTATACTGCTTGAAATGTTTCTTTGATTCGAAGAAACATTTGGGGATGTCTGGTTTGTTGTCGTTGTTGTTCTGTTGCGCGGTCATTTTCTCTTTTCATATTTTATTTCCGGAAATAGAAGAATTATGAAGCAAGTTTTTCCCTCCCAAGTCTTTGCCCATAGAAGGAAAACAATAAGAAAATTAATGATGCTTTGCCCTTTTGAGTAGTCTAGGAAAGGTTGTTTTCTTCTCCAAGATTACTCCTGAATATATTCACCCATTCTTTATTTCATTGTTAAAATTTTGGTCTTGGATAATTGCTTCCTTTCTTTCCTGGGGCTGATAAAGGTACAGCCTTTTATATTTTGTAAGGTTCAACTCTTATATTCTTCATCAATTCTAGTTGTTTTATAAAGTTTATTTTCATGCTTATCTAAAATTTTCTTCTTGAATTTGCTTGATGATTTTTCTGAAACGACGTGATTTTTTTTTGGGAAAATTACATAAAGAATCCGTTTTCTTTTTCGGGACTTTCTTTTTACTGTTCTTGAAATACCATGCCTCTACATTTTTAGGCCAATGAAGAAGTAGAAAACGAGGTTTATTTATGTAACTCCTGGACGGTAGTCACGGTACTTTTGATTGACTTCAGCTGAAGCTCTGGAGTGGAACGATCAATGCGTTTCCAGGATTTATTGTTACTCTTTCTAGCATTATTTCCCACAGTTCTAACACAAACTGTTGATCATGCTTCAATTGTGATTGACACGACCAAAAAGATTGGAGATACGGACGCTAATTATATATGTGCTACACTTGATTGGTGGTCTCATGAAAAGTGTAACTACAACAAATGCCCTTGGGGTTATTCATCCGTGACAAACCTGGTAAAGATCTGAAATTATTATGTTTTGATACGGTCATCCGATTTCACCCGAGCTCTTACATTTTCTGTTTCTTCTTCCTTCACAAAATAAGATTCTCATTAGGATTTGGCACCACTTTGTAGGAATTGTTTTTGGATCCACACATTATGTGTGAACTGAGGTGCCACTTCATTTGAGCCCAAAGTTTTTTTTACCTTCAAACTACATAGTAATTAATGTTGAACCTTGATAGCTAAAAAAAGGCACATGACGATCTTATTCTGGCACGGAGAGAGTATTTTGAAATAATTATTTGACGATTCTTACTAGCTTTTTTTACCTTTTCAGGATTTATCTCACCCGTTTTTGGAAAATGCTATTAAAGGTTTGTTTTTATGTCAACTTTGACACCTAGATCTCGACATGTATCCGTTCTCATTGTAGTACTCATTCCAACAACAACAACAACCCATGCAAACACACAAGTAGGGTCTAGGAGGATAGATGTACATATACCTTATCCCTACTCAAAAAGGTTGAGAAGCTGTTTCTAGAAGACCCCCGGCTCAGAATCCGACCAACAAAGAAAAGAAGAAAAAGAGATGGTAGTAAGGGGGCATATTAGGGACTGTAGTACCTACTCCATCCATAAATATTAGGCTATTTTGCTTGTAGCATGTGTTTCATGAAAATAGATAGTGTCATGTAATTTTACTAAGAATAATATATGACAATTAAAAATAGGGAAAAAAGGAGTAGAAAGTAGAGCTGAAAACCAAAAATAATTCCTTAAAAATAGGAAAGATGTTTTTTTATGTTTGAAAGCAGTCATGTGAAATGTTAATTTCCAGTATCATTGGGTTTCTGAGCTTCAAGCTAATCACAACATTTTATTTTAATGATGGGAAGTCTCTGGCATTGGGAACATATACCTCTTGGGATATCTATTTCTCAACCATTGTTATTATTATAGCTTTCAAGGGCTTGCGGTTGCGACTTGGAGGTTCATTGCAAGACCAAGTTCTTTATGATGTGGGCAATTTGAAGGCTCCCTGCCATCCCTTTAGAAAGCAGAAGGATGGGCTGTTTGGATTTTCTAAGGGATGCCTACATATGTATAGGTGGGATGAACTAAACCGCTTGTTCAAGAAGACAGGGTAACATATTCCCTTTCACTGTTCTTTCTTTAGTTATATGGTGTTAACACAATGCTCTGTGTATCAAAATCTTACATCTCATTTATAACTTGTAGAGTACATGGTAGTGTTTTCAAGGAAAAGTGGACACTTCTGTTAAA